TATATATATATATATATATATATATAAATATAACAAATACATAACAAATACATATATATATATATATATATCAAATACAATTTATTATTATTAAATATTTTTCTATATTAATTATATGTTTTCAGGAATTTGTAAAAATGATGGCTTCAGAAGTAGGTTCGACAAACAATGAGCCTGTACACATTAAGATTAATAGCGAAAAAGCTCCTTTAATTCATGGAAGAAGTGTTCTTTATAGATTAAGTAATTTCTTTAGATTTGGCAGAACACAGAATACAGAAGGAGATGGATACGTCGAATTTGGTAGTTTAGGTGCAGACAATGGACGTACATTGGGAACATTTGCAGGAGTATTCAGTCCTGTTACCTTATCCATGTTCAGTGCCTTAGTTTTTATAAGAATGGGTATGAATTTAATGTGCAAACTTCAATTTCGTATATATTGCATATTTAAGCATTTATACATTGTTAATTGGTGATCTTATATTCATTTCCAATTATCATATAAATTTTGTATTACAGGATACATCGTAGGAAATGCTGGATTACTTGTAACTTTGGCACAATTTATAATCGCTTATGGAATTTTAGTATTTACCGTAGCATCTGTATGCGCTATTTCCACGAATGGAGCAGTGGAAGGAGGCGGCGCTTATTGTATCCTTTTTTTTTTTTCTATAAGGAAAAATTATCGGTTCTTTCAATGTTCAAAACATTTTGTTACTATTGGGTCTTGTAAACGGTATTATATAAAATAATTTTTCCTTATTAAATATTACATAGTTATGATCAGTCGTACACTTGGGCCAGAATTTGGTGGTTCTATCGGAACATTATTTTTTATGGCTAATATTGTATCAAGTGCACTTTGTATCTCTGGCTGTGCCGAAGGTTTAATAGAAAATTTTGGGCCATCCGGTTATTTGGCTGGAAAAAGCGCTTTAATACCGGATGGTAGATGGTGGCGATTTTTATATTGTACAGTATTAAACACTGCCAATTTAATAGTATGTTTAATAGGGGCAGCGATGTTTGCAAAAACTAGCGTTGCAATTTTGGCTGTTGTTTGTGTTTGTTTAATGAGCGTTTTTATAAGCTTTTTAGCACAGGGACATATGGAGGTAATTATTGTGAATTATTATGAAAATGCTTACGAATCGATGGTAGAATAAATAATGTACATATCGTTTATTATAGATTCCGATTCCAGATGCAAACACATTGGTCCAAAATTCAACGTTTCATGTTAATGGCACTTACACAGGATTGTTATCGTCTACTCTTATTAACAACCTTTATTCAAATTATAATTCTGATTATTCAAGCGAAGGAGCGATGACCGATTTTGCAAGTGTTTTCGGCGTATTGTTCAGCGGTGTTACCGGTATAATGGCTGGAGCCAATATGAGTGGTAAACGCTTATCGACATAAGTCGATGGAAAATAATAGTATATATAAAATAATAATAGTATTTGTATTTAGATTATTAATATTTATAGGCGAATTGAAAAATCCTGGAAGAAACATTCCACGTGGCACTTTATCAGCAGTATTATTTACATTTATATGTTACATTTTATTATCGATTCTTACCGCTGCAACTACAAGCCGATTTTTGTTGCAAAACAATTTTATGTACATGATGCCGATCAACGTTTGGCCACCGTTTGTAGCAGTTGGCATATTAACAGCAACGTTTAGCGCAGGTTTAAGTAATCTGATAGGATCGAGTAGAGTATTAGAAGCATTGGCAAAAGACAACGTGTTCGGTAAATAAGAGAAAAATCGCTTTTAAGCTAACTTAATTTGATTAAAATTAACATTTCGAATATTTCCAGGATCCGGATTGAATTTTATTACACAAGGAACATGGAAAGGAAATCCAATTGCTGCGGTTTTAACGTCATGGACTTTAGTCCAAATAATTTTACTTATAGGTTCTTTGAATACCATTGCTCAGATTAATTCTGTATTGTTCTTATTGAGTTACTTAGCTACCAATTTGGCTTGTCTTGGCCTCGAACTTGCAAGTGCACCAAACTTCAGGTATTGTTTAATTTGAATTCGCGTTATTTGAAATGTTCGATAAAATGTCGGCGATAAACTGATTGAAATGTTTTTATCTTATTTATAGACCAACTTTTAATTATTTTACATGGCACACGGCAACAATTGGACTTCTCGGTACATTGATAATGATGTTTGTTATAAATAGTATTTACGCTTCCAGTAGTATAATACTGTGCTTGATACTAATTATCGTGCTGCATTTATTTTCTCCGAGCAAAAATGCCCCTTGGGGAAGCATATCTCAAGCACTTATATTCCACCAAGTTAGAAAGTATTTATTAATGTTAGATTCTCGCAAAGATCACGTAAAATTTTGGCGACCACAAATGCTCTTGATGGTGGCTTCTCCGCGTTCGGCGTGTCCGCTTATAGATTTTGTAAATGACTTGAAAAAAGGTGGACTTTACGTAATAGGTCACGTAAAAGTCGGAGAATTTTCGGGACAGAATATTGATCCTACTATAGAAGAATATCCACATTGGTTGAGTTTAGTCGATCACATGAAGGTGAAGGCATTTGTCGAGCTAACGATTACGAAAACTGTCCGCGAAGGATTACATCATTTAATCAGAATATCTGGAATGGGAGCAATGAAACCGAATACAATTGTTCTCGGTTTTTACGACGAAGAAACACCGGTAGACTTTTTTCAGAGTTCTCAATATGCGACAGATATATTTGAAAATGTTTCAACATTACCAAACAGTAATGTGTTCCCGTTAAGACAGATAAATTCAGAAAAAAATCTTGATGCCGTACAGTATGTAGGAATGTGTTCAGATGTTTTGAAGATGAAGAAAAATTTGTGCTTATGCAGAAATTTTCATATGTTAAATAAATCGCAAATAACAAAGTGAGTACAGGCAATTAATTATCGTTGTTTTTTTTTTCTCACGTTTTGCTTTCATAAAGAAATTCTTTGTCGCAGGAATTCTTCCTTGAAATATATTGACGTATGGCCTGTGAATTTTTTCCAACCGACAGATCAGGATCCATTTGACACAACGTCTTTGTTTATGCTTCAACTTGCGTGTATCATCAATATGGTGCCCGTTTGGAAAAATTTGCATCTTAGAGTGTTTCATTGCGAGACGTCGGACAGCAACGCAAGCTTAAGTATTTCAGATTCACAAAATTCAGTTAGCGAATATTCGAACGTATCTAACGAGCATCGCATAAGAAAATTGTTAAACATGTTGAGAATATCTGCGTCTATAAAGAAAATCCCCGACTGGGGTACACAAGTACGCGGATTACAAGGTAGATCTCTTATTGAGCCAAGAGTGGAAAGTCAATACGAATCGAGCACCGAAAGCAACGATAACATATTAAGTAATATTTCGCGTGCTTATATCTTAAGGTATACGTTTGGATTTATTGATCGAATCGATAAGAAAATTTCAATATGAATTGTCGACTAACTTTTAATTGGATTTTTCAGCGTAAACCAATTAATTCGGCAACATTCTTCTCAAACCGCGACAACGTTTATTTATTTGCCTGCCCCCCCGGCATCAACTAGCTGGGATGAAAACACAGTTTATCGACAGTATCTTCAATTGTTGACAGAATTAACGGCAGATTTACCGCCTATAGTATTGGTACACGGCGTCAGTGCTGTTACGTCGACAACGTTATAACGACGCGTATATCGTTCTATACATATACAAATGTATGTATGTACACGTAAATATGTAGAATTTTACAAGAGAGAGTATTATTTAGTAATTTATGTGGCTTTAAGTTATCGCTAAATTTTTCAATTGTCGAATACTTAATTGACATTCGTATCAGAGAAATATTATAAGTATTTCATTTATTTTATGTCTCTTCTTTATTATCAAGTTTTGTAGTTTTTGTAGTTTCAATGATAATAATAATACTTTCTTATTGTAAGAAAATTTTAACCTTATAGCAACTATATAGTTTATTACTGTGATAACGAACTTAACCTATAAGAGATATCCAAAAGTAAATATTTTTTAAATATTTGATGTATATTTATCGAAGCACGTGTAAGTAAACTGTATCCTAACATCTTCTTACATTAAAATACGTATTTCTATATCAACTTTTTGTATCTGATTTAATAGTGAAATAAATCTGATAAATGTAATAAAGACGAATATAAAAGTAAATAAGAATTTTTACTATTTCTCTATATGTATACCGACACTATTTAGCGTTAAGGGGTCAAATAAAAATTGATTTTCTGAGCTTAATAAGCAATAAAATGAATAACTTATTTAACAAAAATTGCTTTGAAATGTCTAAAGAATCATACTGCGTCGTCAAAGTTGCGAAATATTACTTTTTATATTTTTATTTAACGCGTGTACGGGCATACGGTTTTTCAGTTTAGTTCGCAGTTTCGCCGCTAGATGGCGCCACAAATTTTCTCCATGTGGTGATCATCAGAGTCATCGTCGATCAAGAAGAATTTCATTTTCAAGCCATCGATAAAGAAGATTTCTATTTATATTTGACATTCAATTTTATTGTTCAATTGTATATTTTAAAAAGAAAAACGTTCGCTATTCATTCCTTAATCAAATTTAAATTCAGCAACACGCATTTCAAAATCAATATCAATAAATCAGTTATTTTTGAAGTTTTAATCTATTAACTAATTTTAAATATAGAGACGCATTCTCTATATT